AGGCAAGCGATAAATCTACATCTACCCGTTTCCCGAAATCCGTAGTTTCTTAAATTATATGTATAAGAATCTTTTCAATTGATTTTTCTAGAGATTTTGGTATTCGTGGTGTTGCTTTACGTTTATTATATAAAATTTTACCTAATTCAACACATGAACAATTATATGAAATTGCTCGAATATTATCTGTTGATGGTCCAAATGAATGTCAAATCTGGACACTTGAAATTTATAAATGGATGTATGATTATGTAACAAATTATTTAACAAAAGAAATTAAAACTTCGATAACACCATTATCGGAATCATTTTATCATCATGTTCGAGAACAATTACTTCAATTATTATCAAGTAAAAATGAATATATAAGAGTAAATTCTCGTAATTTCTGGTGTGATCCAAAACGTTTAAGTACATCATCACATCATCGTCTTATTGCATTAGTTGATCAATTATATTCAACAAAAACTGAAAGTGAATATTTAAATTATTGTACAAATTTTCTTCTTGAACGTACAACACATAATCCGGATTATAATCATTTCATATTTGAAAATCCACTTGATAAATGTATATTTCAAGAATTTCCATTAGCATGTAATTGGCGTCAACGTCATCATACATATATGACACCTTTATTTACTTTACAATCACAATCAGCAATCGATCCATCACTATCAACAAATACAAATCTTATGACTATGGATCCAGTTCAATTTATGCAAACATTAAGTGATAATAATAATAATCCAGACCAAACACAATCATCAACATCAACTCCACCAATGCTTTTACAAACACAAGAAATGTCAAGTAGACAAAATTTTATTCCAACACAAATGTTAGATACTAATACAAATTATAATTGGCTTAAACAAACAAATACATTAGATTCAATAAATACATTTGCTTTACCAACATTAGCAACACAAACAAAGAAAACAACTTCATTAATTGTTGATGTAGATAAAAAAATGAAAACAAATACACAAACAACAATGCAAACACAAAATAGTGAAGAAGATGATGATGATATATTTCGACTTAAAAGAAGATTTCTTAAGGATAGTGGTGAATTAACTAAATACTATTTTGCTAAAAAACAAAATGAAAAGAAACAAAATGAAAAAGAACTTCTCAATGAAATCAAATTAAAACAAGAAAATCAAGTTGAAAAATATCGTACATATCGTATTGGTGAATTACCAGATATACAAATACGTTACAGTGATATTATTATACCTTTACAAGCACTTGCTCAATATGATAATCATACAGCACGTTTACTTTATGCAAGTTTATTTACATCAATGTTAAATTCACTTGAAGATAAATTATCATCGGATGAATATTCGAATTTAATTCAAACAATTCAACATCGTTTTGATGTTATGTTATCACAATCAGAAATATTCTATCCATCATTTGTTGCTGCATTACTTGATATTGTTTTATCTAAACCAGAACAAATA